ACACCTTCATGAGACCCTGGCTGCTGTCACATGGTATCCTGCAAAAGGAGAAAGGACCATGAACTTCAGATTCTCCTACATTTGCTACCCTCCCATCACTACCGCAGACAAGCACCAGACACCTTTCAATTTCGGGCCCCAAATCAAAGCGCTATCCCTTTTCTGTTTTAGAATCCCTCTAACTAGCTTTACACAGTTGCCAATTTTCTTCTTTTCTTTCCATCATAGCTTTTTCTGCCTTTTCAGTGTCAACACCAACACAGCCTTAGCCTCAAGCCTTTTTTGTAAAGGGTTAGAGAACCAATATTTTAGGCCCTGTGTTTCATTGCATCTTTCTCTTCTTTTCATTGCTTATTTCTTCATTTCCTTCTCCCACCCACACATTTTGTCCTTCCCCCACCCTGTTTTAAAACAACCTTAAAAAAATAAGGAAATCATTTTTGGTGCAAGAGTCAAAAAAAAAAATCAAACCAAAAACAAAAACAAAAACAACAGTTCCATGGGCCATGTTTTGTGTGGTGTTCTCGTGGCAGCATCAGCTGGAGAATTCTGAAAATGGTCTTTCAGCACTATTGCCTCCCTCTGCCTTCCCACCACAAGGATGTAGGTCACCTGCCCACTGCTGAGATAGCATACTGGTCCCACATCTAGGCCTTGATAAGTGAGGCAAGTTTCTTAACCCCCAGGGGACCACTGCCCCCCTGACCTGGGCATCAAAACAAGCCCATGAAGCAGACCTAAACCTGGCTGGAGCAGGAGCCCAGCACGGCTCCAGAACCCCCTCAGTCTGCTTCATAGCATCCCTGCCCATGGGCCTGGCTAATATATCACCCTTCCTCTCTGACTTAGGTTCACTGATGGGGTGGTCCCCCAAGATTGGGATGTTTGAAGGACCTCCCAGGGTGGCATGGTACCACCACACAGGAGTCTAGGCAGCAAGGGAACTGCACAGCCCACAGCAATGCTTCTGGCCCTAGGAAGCGGGGACCAACACTTCCCTGCTGTGGGGTCTCTGGTACACAGCACAAGCCCTGGGGGAGAGAACCATGTTATATTTCTATGATAACTTCAAGTCATCTCCCTTTGGAGCCCAGTAAAGAAAAGAAATGCTAGGGTGACCCACCATCCTGCTGTGACTAGGACTGTCCTGATATGTGCTCTGAAGGTCTGGGCCCCAGAGAAGCCCTCAGTCCTAGGTGCACCACAACAAGGGACACCTTCCATGGACTCAGGCCTGGGTTCAGTCAGGAGCTGGAGTACAGCCTGGAGTATGAGAGAAGAGCTGTGTTGTCTCTGAGACAAACCCATGAGTCCCCTCCTGTCTGCACCATTCATAGGAGGTGGGAGAGGACTCTAAGGTCCCCAGACCCAGGCCATACCCCAGACCAATTACTTCAGTGACCCAGAAAAGCTGTCCAATCTCCTCTCCTACAGCCTTGGTTTCCCTATCTGTGAAATGGAGCAATATCAGTGCCTCCCAACTGTCAGGGTGAAGTGAGCAGCATCAGGGCTGTGCTGAGGGGAAGAGGTGGCTGGATTTTTTCGGTCCTCCAGGTGATAATGGTGTGCAGTGAATTCCAGGGGGTGGGTATTCAGAATTCTCTGACAGTAGATGCAGAAGGTAGGGGCACTGCACCACACACAGCCTGTCACAGGGGACAGGTCAGCAAGCACTGACAAGCAGGAGCAGGCATTGACCCATGGTAAGGTTAAGTAAGCCCAGGCTTCTAAGACAGGACCTGTGACTGCAGGCAGTCTTGGGCCCACACCCACCTTTACCCACCACCACCCTTCCAGAACCTTCTGTTTGCACCACAACAGAGAGAGACTCTTGGAGCAGAGAGCAATAACTAGACAAATGAAGTGTCCAGAGCCCTGAGTGTTATCTTGGGGCTCATGACTTGTTCCCTGATTCTCTGCATTGCAGAATGAACCACTACAGACAACACTGACAGGCTTACCTGAGGAGAGGTCTCTGTGTCTGCTCACTTCACCCTGCAGCAAGCCAGCCAGGAGGCTGCATTGTTATTGCCAGCATTGTTATTGCTCCATTTAACAGACAAGGCAACTGAGGCACCAGAAGAGACTGAATAGCTTTTCTGGGTCATGAGGTACAAGGACAGTGTTGAACTTGGCTCCTAATGACAACTCCATAGGCTCAGAGAGGTTCAGCAACTCTTGGTAACACTGCAAGTGAGCAGAGTCCTCTCTGCCCTACACTGCACTGTGCCAGATCCCAGACCTGCCTTTACAGAGCACCAGCCACTCTCTACAGGGACTGGTAGGCATTTTCCCATTTCCTGTCCTTTGGCCTGATGTCATTCCTGAACATTTTACACAAAAGGAAGGATTAAGTGACATCCACTTCCTGGATTCCTGTCCATACCACTCCTGATGGGAGCCAGGGGCAGGGACAGCTGCTGGATGAGCACAGCACTGACATGGTACCCACACCATCTGGGCTTGTTTCCTCATGTGAGAGTGAAATAATTAAAGTTACTCGTTCTCCCTAGGGTGAGGTGTGTTACCCAGGGGAGGAAGCTCAGGCAGGGGAGGGAGAGCAGCAGAGCAAGGAACAACAAGAGGCAGAGCAGCAGGTGAAGGTGGGAGGTACACCCCACAGGCTCTTAGGTTTTGCCTCACTGCCTGCTGCTGCTAGGACCCTGAGTATTTCATCACAGTTACTGTGTTTTAGGGCCATTTATATAGAAACCACAACCCCCCGCACATCCTTTCCATTTTAAAGGAACACAAAGGACAAGCTAGAAGAATCAGTGATGTTGAGGAGCCTGAACTCAGCCACTGAGGGGCTCCCTTGTCCATGTAGCTCACCCCTAGCATGGCTCAGCCATGCCAATGCTGTGTGCATGGCCGTGAGTATGACGTACTTGCTTTTTATATGGTTCATGTTCCTCCACAGGGTTTTAGAATCAAGTCAGTTAAACGGCAGCAGGATCATCTCATGTTGGGCAGCTCTTTCTGAACTGCAGTAGTAAGCACACAGGGGTCACATCAGAGCCTGTCTCACAGATGGACTCAGCTGCAGCCACTTACCCAGGCCCCACACACCAGCCTGGCTGGGAGCAGGCACTCAGGGAGGCCCAGCCCAATTGCCCTTCTCTACTCTGGCTGCCAGCTCTTCCAGGATACACAGGCCAGTTGCTCGGAACTTTCTACAGACTACTGTGTAATGTTCAGTAAGAGTTCAATAACTATAAATGACAACAGCCACCCTCGTGCTCCAGAAGAAAACTTGCTGGATCCCATGACCCACTGTCTCACAAAACCCCTGCCCTATGTGGCCGGGGAAGACCTGTGTGTGCAGGCAAGGGGGAGTGCATGAGTAGACAGAGTTGGTCTGGATTCTAGATGACCAGCCCTGTCATCTCACAGGGGCCTCAAATTCATCCTATTGGTGAAGACATTCTTTGTCACAGCTTGGATGGACACATCAAGTCTGGAGGGCCTGGAAATTTCAGGGGGCTGGCTGGACACTTGCTGGGCCTGGCATTGTCCCATGCCCCAGGGCACTGATGAGCCTGGGTATTCCCGTTCCCTGCTCAGTAAGCACGAGCCCATCCCAATGATGCCAGCAAGGCACATCAAGACCTGGCTGTTGACGAAAGCATGCCTGAAACAGGGCTAGATTTTTCCAGGTGCCTGATCACAAAGCCCACATCTGAACCCCAACCACAGAACTCTGGGACTGGGTCCCCCTCCCAGAGCGAGTCCAGCTTAGTGGAGAGAGGGATCCATGAGGTGCTGTGGCCACAGCAGGACCTATTGTCTGGCATGCCCTAGTTGCCCTTAAGGTAGGTCCCTGGGCCAGCCCATGGATGGATATCACAGTGTGATGCCCAAAACCACCAAAGCAACACAGAGCCAGGAAGGCAGCACTGGACCGGTATCAGAGCTAGGGACAGGTCTCTGGTGCAGCTGACCACAGCCTGCATGCTGGGGTCTGTGGGAAATAGCACATGGCAGCTCCTCAACATCCAGCCACTTAGCATCACCCCTTACTGCTCCCAAGAACTGAATTGGGACAGGGAGAGCTGCTCTTCTTGACCCCTTGCCCTTTGTGATGACCCTCATTAAAATCCAGAGCCTGGCCACAAGTTTCACTTCAAGTCGAATTGATAGAAAATAGGTCTCAGGGTCCCAGTCATCTCTAAAATAAGACAATTCAGCTCTTACCACTTTGTCAGACAAAGTGGGGTGCAACCTTTTTAAAAGTCTTTTTCCTTCCTGCTCTGGGGGCTGTCTACAGCAGAGCTAGATTGCATAGACTGTGACACACTTGGGCTGTGACACCGGTGGGCCCAGTTTCCTGGTTTTCAGAACTCGGGGGAACACTGAGGGTGTGAGCTTTGGACTCAGTCCCCATGAATGGTGGGATGCAGAGGCCAGATGCCCAGCAGCCCTGTCTGGTTAACCAAAAATAAGGCTCCCTTCCCCTCAGTCCTCTCCTGTCCTTTATCTTACTGGTGGAAGTAGAACTGGTGCTATGAAATAGAAGGTGTCTTTTAGAATAATGATATAAGGACCAAACAATGTTGTCAATTCTGGTTCTGAGTTCCAGCTTTTTCACTCTGTTGAAAGGGAAAGGAGTTGGCAAGTGTTAAAGGGATGGCAAAAACATCCTAGGACTAAACCAAGATATTTTTCATAACACCATCAGATAGAAGGAATGCAAACTGAGATGGGATAATGTTATTCAAAGGCTGTTGTGTTAAGGACCATTGAAAAGCACCTCATTGAAGGCTGAGAGTATCAGTCACACATTTACTCTGGTAGTGACAGGAAGACATCACTACCAAACTCAGTGGGTCCTAGAGACCAGGCAGTGAGAAGGAAATCATAGTTCACCCCAGAGGGTCTGCTGCCTTGGCCTCCCTCATGCTAGTTCAGGGGACAGATGCTGAGCTCCGAGCGGAGGATGGAGCCCCCAGACCCAGTGAAAGATGCCCAGCTCCTCCCTGTCCATGCCCCAAGGACATTACCTGGGCAGGAGCACTGCAGGACAGGTGAGGCAGGTCTCTAATCCTGGCCGCGGCCCGGGGATCACTGGAGCTGATTAGAACTGGAGCACTAATTTCCATGGAATGCCTGTGGCTGGTGGCCTGTGAAGACCTGTGTGTCACGCTGAACGCAGTGAAGGAATGGCGTTTCTTGGCATTCTTCTTGCCGTCCGCACGTTGTTGAAAGGCACTGACTGCCCCTGTGTTGCTTAAAGTGGGACCTGAGGTCACACTGGCCACTGCGCCGGGGTCAGAGGGCAATGAGGCATGACAGCCAGACACAGCAGTTGGGCAGAGCTTGTTCATCTCAATAAGCTCCTTGGCAGAGTCGTTGAGCTAAGTGAGAAAGGAGGAGATGGGGCTTCATTAAATAATGATCACAGGCCACATCCAGCTTTCAAAGCTCTTCCAGCCTGCACACAGACTTAAAAATTGACAACATGTTTAAACTGGTCAGATCTTTCTGGCAGGGCATCCAATATGAATGGTGCAGTAATAACACAACAGAGGCTGGCTACCACATCTGCCCCAGTGTAGCCCCCGTATTTTCCTGGCTACCCATTTTTGAGGGACCAGAGAGAGGGGAGCAAGGAATGCCCATCCACCATCCAACGTTCACCATAACAAGAGGTTCATGGCCTGCATTGTACCATCTAGTCACTCTGGTAGGAGAATTCAAGGCATGTGACCAGAATTCACTTTCTAACCACCGGTGACGCAGGTGGCAGGAAAGTCCAGCCAGATGAACAGGAGCCATGGGTGCTCTTTTCAGTAAGAGCCTGCACCAGGCTGCCAAGACCCAGGCCTGCCCTGACCCTGGTTCATGAGGAGTCAATACTGCCTTATTTCTAGCTATTCATCAAGGACTTGGAGCACAATTCCTTCCCTATTCTTGCACCTGCACTACAAAATAGCAGGCGCCTTTATAGGGGAGAGTTTGATCCTCCTCAAATCTTCGCCAGTCTGTGGTAACTGGGCGTTAGTGCTCCAGTGGCCATGCTGGCAGTGTCTGGAGGCTGGAGGGGCTCTGGGAGCAGAGGAGCCCTGTACTGTTGTTAGGGGTCTGGTAGGGCATCTGGTTATATGAGGGGTCAATTCATCTTCTAGAAGCAAGTGTGTGCCCCAACTCCTATACTTGGAGCAAGTTTTTCATCCAAGGTATATGACAGAGCCCTTCCCCTCTAAGGCTGCACCTGGCTCAACCTAAGTTCATACCTATAGGTATCGTGTTTGAAGAAATGAAGCAGCAGAGCCAGTGTGTTCAGTGTGCCAAGGAAGAAAATGTGATGTGAGAATGAGCTTGGGACCATCTCCACAAGATGGGTTAGCTAAATTCCATTACACTAGATAAGTGTCTGCAGAATCCTATTCTTTCTCCCTCATCTTTTCAAAAGGAGCAGAAGAAACAGAGTGAATCCCAGCTAGCTCCCTGGGACCTACCCCAGAAAGCATGAAGTTAGAAACGAGAGAACTTGAGCCATTCTTTTTTATTTTCTTCTCACCTGACAGAAAGGGTGTGGGAGTCATGGCTTGAGCAGGCCTGGCGCATGCCCTGTCCTGCATGACTATCCTGTGCTGGTGCTGGAAAGCAGAGCCACAGTGACACCTACAGTAGCAGGGTGCGTGGGCCCAGCCCAGCTTACTGATGGAGCCAGCGTGCAGCTGGATCTGACTGTGGCCAGAACAGATCCCAGCACAGTGGGATCAGGAGTTGGTTCCCCTGTTTAGGGAATGGTACAGGAGTCAGCATGGTCGTGACTGTACATATGCCCACAGTTTTACTGCCAGGTGGGACTATGGCATGGAGTCACTGGAGAAGGGACCATCAAGGCCAGTGGTAATGGACAGTGAAAGAGGAATGAGGCACATCAAAGACTAACCTACCTTCTTCACACTTTGGCCAAGCTGTGCTGCTCAGGGAGAAAGGGAGTGCCCAGGGTGCAAACTGCCCTACATGCTCCCCTGCCTCCCCTGTTCTGGCAGGGTGCAGCTTAGCCTGCCCCAGGCCACTTCCCAGCGGAGCAGAACAGGTCAAGGAGGTTTTCCAGGTCAGCCCTGACTCCTCCCCTCCACAATCATTGCCAAGGTCAGCCCTGTCTAGGAGGTCAGGGAAAAAGGCAGCACACAGGGCCCTGCTGGAACACCAACATATTTGCAAGCTGGGGTGGAGCGAGGGAGAACAGAGAGGGGCAAAGACCACATAGTGCAGAGTTCAGAGATGAGGGTAAAGCACAGCCCAAGGTGCCAGTTTAGAGAAAGGGTGAGTCAACAGAGGCCATTATGGTAGGGGGGACAGTTTGAAGCTTGGAGAATTAACTGAACAGAGTCTGGAATGATGCACAGGGTTCAGACAGGAGCAGAGAGAGCAAGTGTAGCAAGGAAACTGACACAGGCAGGAGGTCTTTGCAGGCAGGTAAAGGTAACCTGGAGCCAGCTGTGCATATGCCTGTTCCCCTGGGCAGGAGCCATACCCATGACCTTGGCTGAGCCTGGAATGCGAGCTGGAACCAGGAGGTGGCCAGGCCAGGTGGGGCCATACCAACATATAGTGGAGTCTGGCATCAGGACTGGGTTGGGAAATTCCCTCAGCCCTGTGCCATGGAGGGAAACACCAGGCTCTCTTGCTCAGGGTATACTACTAGGGCATGCCACTGCTAGCATCTTGATAAGTTAAAAAAAATTAAAAAAAAACACACAGCTACACTGAATTAAAGCAGTGAGAACACAGGTGTGTAATCTCTGTAAGGCCCAGTAGATCACACACACAGATGCCTTCAAAAGGCCTTTGCCTGGGTCACCAGTATTTTCATTCCAACACCTGTCCTTCAAAGGGAGGTTATGAGAAACTCACTCCAATCACCCAAATGTGTGATTTAAATCCAGGATTATTTACTTTGAAATGCTTCCTCTAACCAGGTTCCACTGTTCTGCCCTATTTTATGCCTTTTTTTCACTTACTTCCTCAATAGTCCTAGGTCAAAGAACAAAGAAGCACCTGTTCCCTACCACAGTCCTGCATGGGGATCTCCAAAGTCAGCCTCCTGGACCCCAGTGTTCTGCACCTGCCCTGCAGAGCCAGGAGCAAAACAGAAAAGCAGAAAGGCAGAACTCTCCTTATTCATGGGCTTTGGAACATGGTCTAAACACTACCTTCCATGTCTCCACTTGAAAGGTAATTACATAGAAATAAAGTGCTTGAAGCTGGGCTAATATAATTCTGTTCTTCCCCAAAGCAGTGAACCTGGACTGTCTTGTTTAGTTCCACTGTTACTCTGTTGAGTCAGTATTAGAAATTCCATTCTCAAAGCCTGAAAATCCAGACACCGACAGCTCAAGTGTCTGCACATGCAGAACACACAGAGCCATAAAAGAGCTGAGCACAGCTACCAGGAGGAATGTGTTGCCTGGTCCTGCGGCAGTGCTGTCTGTCCCCTGTGTGCCACCCAAACCACCACAGCATGCATTCAGTCCTCAACATGTGTCTTCCAGGGGCTGCTTCCAAATAACCACACTGCCCTTTCCCTCTCCATGGAGAACCAGGGTGCAGGGGCATCACTCCCTTCTTACTCCTGCCTTAACAATCCGAAGCCCACTATGGGTGCTAAAAGTGAGGGCTAATACATTTCCATTGAAGACAGTGCTTTTAAGAAACTGTAGGAAAGAAAAGAACTCCTGCTTCCAAAGTGGTGAATTCTCAACATTTTATCAGGGCCCTAGAGCCCCTAACATCTTTTCATGAGGCGAGGGAACTTCCAGTGAAAGGTCTGCTGATGACAGAAACAGTTCGGTTTCATCTTCTTTACTGCATTGCTGCTGGTGACAAGTGGAGTCTTATAGGAGATAGATGATAGATAGATAGATGATAGATAGATAGATAGATATAAAATTACCTAGTAGTTGACCACCATATCTGGAGACCATGGCTTGCTAGACTTTGACAAGTGTTGTGGGAATGCTTCATCCTGTCCGGGGAAGCTGCCATGCTACACAATGCTGGGGATGGGCCTGGCAGCTGGCGCCACCAATTGTGTCCCAGTTGGAAAGCCTCTCTCTGGGTGCACATGGGCCCATTATTTCAGGACACCTGCATCTACCAACATTTGCCCGTCACAGTGGCTCATGTAGCAGACCTGTTCAGAGGAGCCATAATTTCCCATTGCCTCCTACCCCAACTAAGGAAACCAGATGGCTCTGCTCTGCCCTGAGTAGGTGCTGAAGCCCTGCCTCATAGGGTCAGGGGGTCCTGGGAGACAGATGAGTAGATAATGAACAAACCTGGGAGGTTTCCCCCTCTTTTCCCCCAACCAGATTACTATAATGTGCTGTGAGTAGCTGCTGACTGCCAACTGTGAAGTGGTGGATAAGTGCTTTCTGACTTAGGGTGCTCCCTTCTCTCAGCCAATATGCCCATCTGGGAATGAACAGGCTCTGCTGTTCCATCCACATACGGGGTCACCTGATTTGTATATCAGGTATGTATCTTCAACCCACACAGACAGCACACTCAGGCAGACTGTGGCTTCATCATCCACATAACTTTAAATCAGTGATTAATCAATGCATCTAATAACTCCAATTTTGATTTTTTATGAAAATAGAAGATGTTGTCAACTTCCATACAGAATGGAAACAAAGCAGTAACCCCAACGTTTACATGTCTTGATGAACTTGTTCATTTATTAGAGAGTTGTTAATCCGCCACAGGGCCTGCTCCCTTTTGCATTGCAGGTCCCTCTGAGGAGCTAGCCCATATTCACATGCTCCTGGGGGCATGGCATCAGATGGACCAGGCCAGCTCACTGTCAGATACATTTTCCTGCACCATGGGTCCAGTCTTGGCAATGGGACAGTAACTGTCAGTAAAGGTCACTCTCTTGTCAGGTACTCTGTGTCCTGCCTCTGTGGCTTAGCGACCCTATTTCCTAGATTTTTTTCATCAACTTTATTAGCTCAGCTGTGATGGTCTTCTACAACCACTATTTTCTCCAACCATAGAAACATCTAGAAAAGTTAGAAGATCTAAAGAGTTCCTTCTTTCCACTGTTTAAATAGTTCTACAAGTGGCCTGTCAGAATTGGTTGTAGCATCCCTGCTGCATCTGAATTTGGGGACCAGGTTGCATAAAGAAGGTGCTCTCACAGCAGCTTACATGAGCCATGAGACCCCCTTGGTGAGCCTGAGGCCTGATGGGATTTTGGTGCTTGGTCTGGGAAAGTGCTAGTCCAGAGGGCCAGTGCAGAGCATGGTTGCTCAGAAATCACTAGTTCTGATTGAGAAGACTTTAAAGTGAATGTGTGTAGGAGAAGTTTTTTACAAAGGGATACAACTGGGAAATC